TATCATAAATGACTTTACCGTTTTAGGTTATAGACATTGATCCATTCAGTTACTCCTGGCTCACAAGGATGAATTACAATAGCATCATATATCTACATGTACACACAGTATGTTATACAGTTGTATCAATTAAAGATGAAAAATTACTTAATGAGTACATGTACATTGTACATCATGTAAATGCAAATTTCTGGAATTCAAGAAACAAAAGTAGTAAAATTACATACCGTACATTTGAAATGAAGAACTACACATCCTGTATGCACATGTACATAGGTATCAAGCAGGCTTAAATAATTATTTGAGTGTGGTCAAATGCTTAAATAGTACTACAATAGAGTACTCGTACTCATACTCAATACAATTTGCAAAAATGAGGGACTTGTACTTGTACTCATTTTAAAATTTTAACAGATACATGTAATGTACTTAAATACTTCTTAGAGTACATGTACTTTGCCCCAAGCCAGGTAGCAAGTAGAAATTTAGGCAAATAAAATTTTACCTATAAACCAAAACCTTAACTTAAGACGTTGGCATGGTAAAACATTTGTAAAAAATTATTAATTTCCGAACCTTCATTTTTGAAAAGCAACTTGCCCAAATTATCTATTCCAATCTACATGCATCTACTATGTACGACATACATGTTACATGTAGCTACACAATATATCATCATTACCTGCCACGAGTCTCTGTGAACAACAAGAGCTAGTAAGAAGTCTGCAATTAAGTCAATGAGAATGGACAGGAAGACCTAAATAGATCAGTCAACTCCTTTATCTCAATAATAGTGTGAATCAATCATACCTTTAATGTACCATCAACTGTAACGGCAATCTCTGCATCTGTAATGTGAGTAAGAAAGAGGAGACAAAAGTGTTAAAAGTGTAAAAACAAACCCAATTTATGGCCTATTAATATTAAATTTGTGTCATGTCTTCAGAAGAATCACTGTACGTGTTATCATTTTGAAAAATGTGATGTAGTATTAACACAACATACAAAACTACATATTACATGTACATATATGTCTTGGTATAGCCATTGACAAAAGGTCTCAGAATAGCTCATAAACATAATTGTAGACTGATCAAAATTACATGAATGCATTAGAAAATAGACAAAAAATATTAAAAGTACTAATTATTAAATTGGGTACCTCTAACCACAGAATAGAGGCCCAACATGTACATGTATGTCTGTCTGTCAGCAGTTAATCAACAGAACAGGTGACTGTATAAAACGTGCATTGTTTCACAAGTATACACTACAAACAATGTTGGCTACACAATTAATCACATTAAAAATTTCATAGATGTACATGTGTATAGCAAG